TTGCAGTTCCAGCCCGAAAAAAATACGAGATGGTGCAAGTGAAGCAAAGTAGCAGCGAAGCACAGCACTCAGACATCCTCTGTCGTTTCCGCGCTGAGGACGCATTGAACCGGCACCATTGGGTTTATGCAATGCGATCCTCTTTTGTTGCATGCTGGTCAAGGGGCCTTGGCCTTGTGGGACACTCGATACCACGGCAACCCCCCTCCTTCCTGGAGACAGTCCAGGTGGTGGGCGAAGAAGCAGTGCTGTGCCTTCCGTGCCTGTGGTCCGAGTGGCATCACCGGGGCCGCCTCACGGCGGCCTTTGGCATGTGCACCCTGGTGACCCTCGATGTGGAGGACCCACGCGGTTGCCCTGCGGCAGAGGGGCAGAGCTTTTCATACTGATGTTCCATGGCTAGGTCCGCCAGTAGTGCCCTTTTACCCTTTTTTCGGGGAGGGTTCCCGGTTCCCCTACTAAAATAGACTACAGAAAAATAGGGTAACTTATTCTAACCTCTCTAGTGGAGGACCTAGATGGCAAGCACTTTGAAGCAGCTTGCAGCAGAAGATGCAGCGATGCCCCAAGCAAATCTGAATCAGCCTGAGTGACACTACTTGACGGGCAACGTCAGGAATGTTTGTTCGTCAGTTTCAAAACTTGGAAGCTCAAAACCTGCCTTGGAACTTTATTTGTATCTTTTGGTTCTACGTCCTTTGGGCAAGTGAGGCCAAGTACCATAGCCCATTTGCCCGTTGTGTCTCGCAGTCTCTAACGGGATGGCACGCCGTCGCATCTTTGAGCACATCAACGGTTGCTTTGGGCCTTTGGAAGATGAAACAACAACACAGGAGAAGAAGCTTGGTTTGATTTCCTTTGGTTTTCCTTTCCAGGAACCAAATTTCTACCCTTGTGTTCTTGAAGAAGCATTTTTGCTTGAGAGTGAAGCAGCTCGCAGGAGTTTGGGCGTTTGATCACGCGCTTCGGCGGGCCCTTGTATCAGCATCTTGGACAGAACGTCATTCGGGAGGCTGCCCCTGCTTGGGATTGGAAGTTTAGCCGCTGCGCCGTCAGACAGCCTTGAAAAAGTTCAAACACGTTGGCTTAGGTGGGCTTGGATCACATTGGCTTGGGTGGCCTTGGATAATGAACATTCAGTTGATTAGCAGAAAGGACTTGACCAGGGGCATCATTGTGAGTGACTGGACAACGCAGAACTACTAAGACACTAAGTATGCTCGGCGTATTGTTCCTTTCCATGTGCTTAGCAAGATGCCCGACTGCGGCACCAAAACACTTCCATCAAGCAAAAGTTGATGCCAGTGCGCTGTGGAGGGGGAAGCACACGAGTATCGAGCAACTAGTGGTTCCTGCTGGCCGGTTGGTCGAGGATTGAAGCTGAATTCGCCAAATTGCTTCACACTTCCAAACCCTGGCAATCCAAGCCACCAATGGGTGTGTCTCTGTGTCTCTCGATTTTTGGCCACGGCATCTTGAATGATGGGGGGGCCAACGGAGCCAGGCACTTGCAAATCCTGGGCATCCTGCTGGTGAGCGAGGTAGAGGCACTGATCCCGGTCCTTCCCCTGCAGGGGGTGGGGGGGTTGGCCACCTATGCACGCCTTTAAGCCTTCGCAATGCTAGTCTCTTCATGGACTCTTCCCTTCCGAACATGACAGACCACGTAGGAAGAAAAGGTATGTTTTGAAACGAAGTTGGACACGTTCCAACTCAAAGGGTTGAGGCATGTGTACGAAGACCACACACATGAACAGAACCAACACAAACCAATAAGTGTTTTGCAAGCGCTTCGCGTTGTCCGCCTCGGCCAAGCCCAGCACGCAGCGTCAGCGACGCGAAAGGAAGGAACAGCGCTGGCCAAGTGGCAATTCACAGTCGCGATTCACGGAGCCAAGAGACGCAGGGGTGTATGAGAGAAGGTTTGAACTCCTCCACGACACCAGGAACATTCGTTACGAACTTCTCAGTATTGAGAATTGTGGACCACAGAAACGTGGGAAGACTAAGAATCATGGACGCAAGAAACCATGTCAGCTACTGATCAACCATACAACGAGCATAAGAGAAGAGAGCATATCCACAGATGGCGATTGCAAGAAGGCCTCCTTTCGATTGAGGCTTTTGTCATAGCACCCACGGATCTTACCACGCAGACCTAAGATATGAGAAGCAAGATCCTCTAAGCTGGTGACAAACTCACTTGCCCAAGTACGACGTTCTGACCTTTTGGTTTTCCCATGTTGGTCGATTATTAGTAAAGGATCCCCAAAGGTTAACCATTATTTCCAGGTAACATTTTATTTGCAGGTCCTTTGGGCAAGTGAGCAAATTGCGAGCGTTTTGCAGAAGCCAAATACGGCAGGCACGTAGCCGATCTGAGAGTCGGAGTTCTGGCCAACAGCCAACAGGAAGCAGACGCGTCGGTTCACCTGTAAAAATAGAAAGGCCCGGCCCAATTACGGGCAACCAGCAATGCAAGCAGCAGTGACGCGCACGGAAACGTACACAGAAACGTACACGTACACCTTGTCACCACATGTGTCGCTAGAAAAAATACATAAGTGTACTTTGACAAAACAAGGCTTTTTCAGAAACCTCGCAAATAGTAAGAGGGTCACATACGTATACATGTACAAAGACATAGACACAGGCTTGTGGGATCACTCGGGGCTTATCCCCACTTCTGTGATACAAGTTGGAATTCACCCCTTGAAAAAAGGGGGGGTAGTCTGAGTTAGTCTCAAGCCCTTTCTGTTGAATCAGAGAGGGTCAGTTCCCAGAGCCCGACACTCGCAGGCCACGAACGAGGTGGAGTGGGTCACAGACCTGGGCCTTCAGCAGGCGAGAGATGGGAATGGCCTTGGACGACTCGTCTCATCTTCCTTTTTGGTTTTGCGACTTGAAAATTGGGGGGGGGTACCCCTTTGGCTTCCCCTTGAAATCAATCCCCGGTATTTTTTGGGTACCCAAGTTCGGTTTGGTTGATTTCCACTTTCGGCTTGAGGGGTACCCAAGTTTGGTTTGGTTGAGCTCCGGTGTTGGCGTACCCAAGTTTGGTTTGGTTGACTTACCCAAATTTGGTTTGCTTGACTTCCGTTTTTTTGGGTACCCAAGTTTGGTTTGGTCGACATCCGTTCTCTGGGGTACCCAAATTTGGCTTGGTTGCTCTATACCTACCCCAGTTCCTTGGACAAGAGCACACTTACGTGCACAGGGGGGGTGGTGGTCAACGCCATATCCTCGGCACCCGGACTGAACCTTTTGCACATGCTACAGGGCGTTCATGATAACTGCCAGGCAGTTCTACTGGAAAGGGAATCCGCCCTAAATTGACCCTAAGCCCTAAACTTACCCTTAACCAACCATAACCAACCCTGAAGCAGCCTTAAACCAGAAACCCATTCTGAACTTGTCCCACACTAAACCCAAACAGAAACTTGTCTTGCCAATCGCCGAGCCATGAATCAACCCGGAGAGGTTTCCCAATTTGCCCATGGATTGAGCGACATGTGGCCCACCCTTTCTCATCAGGGCCACTTAAAAACTCCGTCTGGGAGTTGCCATCCCTGGCCACATGGGAACCCATCGCCACATGGGAACCCATCTTCCGCGAGTGGCGAGCCAGGAGGTGCTGGAAGCTCTGGTGGCGCGCGCGGAGGGCTTCATCTCCATCCTGCAGAAACAGCATCAGTGGGCCGAGGCGCGCGCTGGGAAGGTGGCGCTGGTGCTGCAGGTCATGTTCTGTCAGATGGCTGTGGGTCAAAACCAATGGGATCCCATTTCGGGGTAGGTGCACCGCCCATTTGAGTCTATTTTAGTGGGGATGTTTACTGGGGTACGGGATTTTGACTCATGGCCAGATCTGTGTATGTCAAGCATGGCAACCTCCCAATAAGCAGCCTTGCAGTGTGCAAGATGCCGGTGACCGTAGAGAATGGCAACCCTTTCTTTGGGGACACCCTTTTCAGGCGCCACAAAAATGACTCTAGGATCCAGGAGGCCAAGAGCCTGACATCCACCTGAAAAGAAAAGAACTGTGCTAAGGACACTCATTTGGCTATATTTGTTTTCCTAATGGGGAATACCGTCGATAATGTGTTTGGACATAAGTTCCATGCAACCTTTGGGTCGATGAAACCTGCATGCGACATGGTCCTCCTCCTCCTCATCATGATCATGATCACGATCACGATCATCATTATCATCATTATCATCATTATCATCATCATCATCATCATCATCATCATCAGCAGCAGCAGCAGCATCATCAGCATCATCAGCATCATCATCAGCAGCATCATCATCATCATCATCATCATCATCACCATCATCATGGACATGTTTGAATCCTGCACGATGCGGAACTGGCCAGGAAAATGGCTCAGAGCAGCCTCAAGAGAGCACTGCTGAGTCTGAATTTTCTGTGCGAGCCACAGCACTCTGAGAGCGGAAGGGTTTGTGTGTAGCCAGCAAAGCTGAGCTACTCCAAAGACAGATCGTTGCAGCAATGGATCCGTGGTGTTTCAGCCAGTCTTGTTTACAATTCTTTGAATGCATAGGCTCAATTCGAGTCGAAAGGCGATGCGGGAATTTCAGCCAAGCTGATTTCCGGGAAGAGGAGACAAAGAAGCTCCAACGGAACTTTCCTGGAGTCGGGGCAAGCAGGTAGGGGACCTCCACGGCTTGATGGACAACCCCTGGGCATGGGTCATGTCTGAGAGAAATTGATACACAACATGTATCCTCACTGCGATTTCCCCACCTCACAACATGTTCTCCTGTGCAGGTGAAGCTGTCAAGGACCCCAAGAGAGGGCGCTCTTGTTGGCGCCCTTTGGGTCAAGAAAAATACGTGTTTGCTTCCTTGCCGGGTGCTTTTCTGCCGCCTTTCCGGGTCCCCGCATCGGGTTCCGCTCCAAACGAGTCGAGTTTCGAGCTACGAGCTACGAGCTACGAGTCGAGCGAGTCGAGCTACGAGGATCGATCCGACTCACGGAGGTACATGCGCCAGTACGAGAAGTTCCAGGTCTCCGAGCTGGACAGCTACTTCGAGGAGGCCTATGCCCGGAGGCCCAGGCTCGGGAAAGCAGTGGGGAGCGGTGCGGAGGTGCAGCGGCGCGGCGGAGCCTTGGACAGAAGGAGTTGGCCTTGGAGTCCGGTCCCAGGTCAGTTTTTTCGTTTCCTTGCTCAGTTAAGGGGCGGCTGAGTTGTTGTTGGGAAGCGGCATGAGCAAAGTGATCCGCAAAGTTTTGAAGGGTCCGGAGCCAGCTGAACCCAGCCAGCTGAGCTTCTTTCCTTCGGGGACTTTCTGAGATCTTGGACGGTCCATTTTCCTATCCAGTCGCGGCACCCGGCCGTCCCTCTCTAAACTGCCGCGAGAAAAAGGGAATCCGTCCACCCCGTCCCCCATGGGGATGGGCGATCGCATCGGAGCGCGGAGCGCGAAGCGCGAAGCGGCGAGGCCTGGTACTTCATCCACATCGACGCGGAGGACTTCCGGAACCGCTGGGCCACGGTGCGGCCGCGGGCCGGGGACCCGGGACGCTCGGGGACGCTCGGGGACGCTCGGGGACGCTCGGGGACGCTCGGGGACGCTCGGGGACGCTCCGGCCCAGGGAGCTGTGAGAGTGTGGATCGCGGGGAAACGAAGGGGTTGGAACAACTGTGGAGACACACAGATACAACGACTGCCTGCCCTTTTGTACACTGCAATGGAGAGCCGGAAATCCACTAGCTGCAAATGAATGAACTATTTTTGTTGGTGCGAAGCGCAAGCTTAGCACGACTTGTAGGGTCGGTGCAAGTTGAAGCAGTTGCTTAGTTCCTTCCCCTACTCGGCGAGCTTGTAATTCAGGTCGTGTATTCGAACATTCATGAACATTCCAAGCAGCGAGTCGTTTTCCCGAGTCCGCTCTTAAACGAACCAATTGGCCGTCGGTGTGTCAAACGGCGCATGCGTCCAGGTGGCAAACATTTTGAAGGCAGCCTCCGCCGTTGCCTCCTTGCCCTTCATCGGCGACTGGGAGATTCGTAGGAGAGACGACAAGCAATCGGCTTCTCCTGTCCTGGCAGGTTATTTATTTGTTTGTTTCAGCAATCTTTCACCTTACCCCTAATTGGTTTGGTTTGCTGGCTTGGACTAGGGTTCAAATCCCCACACCACCAATCCAAACCACCAACTATATGAGCCAATATGTCGATGGATTCCACTGAAAGTTGCATCGATGAAAGCTTGAGAAGTGGCGGGAGTTTGGAAGCGGCTTCCTCAAGAGCCTGCAATTGACAAACAGGGCGTGAGCAAGCCATGGCCGTTCGCAGCAATTGAATTGGTAGGACATCACGGAAGTCAGCTTGGCTTTCTGAAGCAGCCCTTCCTCCTGGCCCTTGTGAATTGGTCTCATGCCCATCTTCTAACTTTTGAATTTTGCAAAGGCCTTTTTGGGCGCTTGCCAAATGCTACGCATTGAAGAAATGAAGATGCGGTGGGCCCATTTACAAGAAGACATCGTAGATGGCACGCAGCGTCGGACATCGGATTGCTCTGAGCTGTGGCTATGCTGCCCTCCGACAGTAAGGGGGGACGGTCGAAGCTTTGGGTTGCGTTTCCACCGCTTCCATATGCCCAAAGGCCAGCGTTGCTTGCCAGGATTGAGGAGTGCTTGGAGAAGGATGTTTGGTATCTTAGGCCAGGGAGTGAGCGAATCAAGGCCACCTTTGGCTCCTTTCAACGAGGTTCTGGCGCTCGTGTTTGCGAGCTTGACTCGATGCTTGTCGGTTTTGAAATTGGATCCATCTCGGCTCAGCCTGACCGGAATGTTGTGAATCCAGGCTGCTGGCCAAACTGCTGCGCGGAGTCGAGGCCGGGTGGATGTACCGTGTTTCTTCAAGCTGCGCATAGAGAACAGCAATGGCAATCACATCAAGTGCCCGGAAATGCTTGATGTTTTGTCTGGGCCGCTTTGTCCCAAGCGCACAATGATAGGCCGGAGAGCAGCAAACGCAAGATCCAAGTCCCGTGTACGGGCTTGAGGGGCTTGAGGGGCTTGCAGGCGTGGCCGCGTGCTCACAGAGCAGTTGCATCTCCAGCTCGTCTGCTTTCAAAGAGTGGGCGTAGGCCAAAAGTACTTAGAGCTTGAGCCCAGAGGCCAGGGGCCCCTTTTCGGCAGATAGTCAAATAGTATATAATTCTTCCAGACCTCCAGTGCCCTTTGTTCCGTTTTTCAGGCTTCCCTTCAAGCTCAACTCGCGAAGCAAAAGGTGCGCAAACTGTCAAACTGTCCCATGGCCGGTCAACATCGAAGATACTGTCGACGAAATCCGTTCGCGCCAGGGTTGAAACCATTGTTCGCCTGTGTTTGTTTACGTCGGGGAATCGAGTCAGAAGCCAGTTGGTTTCTGAACGGTGGTGCGAACTGCCAGGCCAGTGGCTGAAGCCGCGACTCGAATGACCCACCTGGCCCGGGGCCCGGAAAGGGTCAAGAAGGTCACCCGCTGATGCGATCGGCGGTGCCCTCGTGCTGTAAGCCGGGCCGCCGGAGGTGAGTTTGGTGGAAGATCGATTTGGCACTTTGGCGGAGGTTCCCGTTTGGTCCTGATTTTTTCCTAGTGCCACAGGGATTTTCCTTTGCAACGGCCAAAGCCAGAAAGTTGGGGTAGTTTCACCTCTGAGGTTGATGGGTGAGATGAGTGAGGGATCAAGCCTGGAACAGTACCAGGCAAGATACTCATGTTGTCTTTCACTTTGAAGTATTCGACAAACCTGCTCAGGGTGCCAAACAAGAAAATCGGGTTGTACTAGAGGAGTTACCAACCTGGTGCCTCATTTCAGGCTTGAAAGATAGAGTCAGGGGCGCACCAGCCCAGGTGAGCGATTGGGGCGAGGCACAGGCACAGCCATGGAGAGAGGCGCGGGTATCCCACTGATCCGAAGAGTAGGCTGGGCTGCCCTGAGATGCCCCACTAAAAGTTATTGTTTTTTGCTGGGCTAAATGGAAACTACCACTCAACGCTAAAACGCTAAGAAGCCAAGAAGCCAAAAAGCCAAGGGGATGGCTGGGAGACACCAAGCAGGCTACGGAGCTCGCTTCGTTTCGAACACGTCCAGCGGCTTCGGATGCAAGCTTTCAGCATACCCAAAGCTGACTGGATCCCGCGGAATCCGGGATCCCCATGTGCAGAGCACTTGAGTCGGTGGCATAGACATGGGTTCCTTAAAGACTAAAAGAATCCATGGCTGCCAAGGCACCCTGTGATTCGGCTTAGTCATCGAGCCTCTTGTGTGGCTCGAGAGAGCTGCATTGCTTCAGCCCAGAAGAAAAGGCAGTTGCAGGGAGCTGCAGTCATGCGCCGCTGCTACGCTGTGCCGGAGTGTGATGCTGTATCGGAGTGTGACACTTCTTTCAAGGGCTACTGTGTTGTGCTTCATGTGTGCGAGGTGGGAATCCAAAATTCGGGAACAGAGTGGTGGGAAACCCCCTTCAGTCCTCTCCAGCGTTTGGTCTTTTTATAGTCCTTGCCTGTCTGGGCCAAAGTGTCAAGCGGATAGGACGAAAGGGACATCTCAACCGAGTTCTTTCTTCTTTTTTGATGGGACTGGTCTTCAAGTCTTCGATGGGAAGCAAATCAGCAACAGCGCGGGGAGAAATCCATGTTGCTATTGTTGCGGGACAGGGAGGTACGTGTTTCATCAGGGGTTCCAGTATGCAATTGTTTGGTATTGATCCAAGGAAAACCTGAGGATCAGCCTTTCTCAAGCTACATATGGGTGTGGCTCAAAATTAAACAGAAGGGGTTACGCAGGTTTTGGTCCATGTTTCCACTTACCAGGGTGCCGTTTTGGTACCGGTTTTTTGAGCCACAGCCATATGAACGTCAGGGGCACAGGACGCGTCCATGGCGCTGCCGTTAGCTTCGACTCGGCCTTGGCGATTAGGCCGCCACCAGACGTTGACGCTGACCAGGTCAGCAAGGCGACAGCAGCAGAGACAATTCGCGGATTGAGTTTGGATGCCTTGCTTTGCGGTACGCCACCTTTGACCTTTAAGCATCGCATGTCAGCAGACCTGGACAAAAAAGCCGGCTCGGCTGGCTGCAAAGCTTAGCTTAGAAGTCCCGAAGCAAGCCATTTCCGGACCTCCTTGTTTGCACATGCCGTTGGCAGCTTCTTTTGTGTGTTCAGTTGACGCTTAGCGGCCAAGTGGCGTTGTATTTCCAGAGCCTCGGCTTCCTTCAAAGATCGGACATCCGTAAACTGATTTTGAAAAGTCCGCCGGCTTTTCCCGCCCAACCGCCATGGCGTACAGACCGGGGCGCGGTTTGGATGTGGAGGCGGGAGAGCGGGAGGCGAGCCGCAGGTGATGCAAGTTGAGGAGTTTGGCCTTGAAATCATCGTTGGATGTTGCAACCAGCAGTTTTAGGGTGTCTAATGTAAAATGTATGTGTATAATATGTGCATAATATATATATATATATATATATACCCTCCCACCAATTCACATGGAACGTGTCCCTTTATATATATATATATGTACCCTCCCACCATTTCACATGGAACCTGAGAGGGTGTCCCTTTAAAAGGACAATTGTATTCCTTAGCCCCCCTGTCAGGTTCCATGTTAATTGGAGGGAGGGTATGTTCAACTGCAAAATGGGCACTTCCCAAAAGGCTATGCCGGCCTGAAGTATGTACGCGCTTCTTTTCGACCCGAACAAGAACAGCAAAAGGAACATGGCCCAAACCAGACCTCCTCCCCAACGTCGAACGGCACTTTCTGCCCCTTGCGATCTACAGCGAGCCACCGGGCCACCTCTGGACACTCGACTTGGACCGGATTGTTCTCGCTTGAAAGGCTTTACCTTCGTCAGCACATGAGCCACAATCAAAACCCAAACTAATACAGGTTTGTAAGGCAAAATCCCAACGATGGGTGGAACCGCCTTGTTAAGTCTTTACATGGTTCTGGGTAGACCATTTTAGAAAACCAGGCTTTGATTACCTGCATCTCTTGAAAGTTAATAATTCCCACTCCAAAAAGAAAAAAGTACTTTCTTCCATGCTGGAGTGATAATTTTCCCTCCGTGTTAAAATGCACGTTCGGGTAGTTCCGACTGCTCAGGCATCCGTTCGGACCCGTTCGGACCCGTTCGGAACCCGTTGGAAACCCGTTCGAAACCCGTTCGAACCCGTTCGAACCCGTTCGTACCCGTTCGGACCCGTTCGGACCCGTTCGGAGGTACGTAAAAAAATACGCCAACATTACGCAATAAGCCTTTGATAAATTATGTGCAGCGCTGATTTATGAACACTTCGATGGTGGTGAAAATATCCGTTCAAGAGTAGAAATGCCCGTTCGAAAGTGGAAATACCCGTGTCCTCAGGCCAAAAAGTACTTTTTCAATTTTGGAGTAGGAATTCTTAACTTCCAGGAGATCCAGGTATGACTCGCATGGCCTCAGAAAATAGGTCTCTCTTCTAAGGGTCAGGAGGACCGAGCCCTGAAGGCTGGAATGAACCGTTTTGGGTCCCAAGTCCTGCCAGCTTGACGTGCATGGACATGCGTAGCTGGACTTCTGCGTCCGCCTTGACACAGAGCTGGCCGGCTTTGCAGAGATTTTGTGAACTGTTTTTTTTGGGACTTGAGTAATTCGCTCGCTTAAGCTGGGAGCTACCAACTTGCAATCAAGAAACCCAGTTGCCCAGTGCCGCCCTTCCCTTTTTTGGGAAGGGTTCCCTTGATCTCACCAAAAAAGAGGATGCCCCTTGTTTCCCATGGCCACTTCTGAGAAAAAGACAACCTTTTGACCTTTTGCTTCTTCCATGTTGGTCCACTTTTCGTAACTGTCCCAAAAGGTGACCACCTTTTACTTCCTATGTCCTTTGGGGTGAGGATTGCAAGGGTCCAAGACGAGATGTCCCGCTTTTGAGGCTACCCTTGCTTTTGTTATTTCTCGGGAAAAAAACAACAACTAGGAAGGTCCTTTAAGGCTACCCGTGTCTTTCTGTTTCAACTTTTTCAAGGGGGGGAAACCAGGTGGACCGAACTCCATCTATCGGTTTTTTGCAGGTGACTTGGTGCTTGGGAAGTGGTTTCCCATTTCCAGGGGTTCAACTCCAAATTTTTAAACCACAAACCAACTGGGCAGCTGAATCTGGGGACACCCTCCTGTCCACCAACATGGAACCCACCAGAGGGTCCCTTTTAAGGGAAACCGGGCTTCCACGACTTCTTACTCAGGTTCCATGTTTGTGGAAAGCGGGGTACCCCCCGAGATTCAGCTGCCCAGTTGGTTTGCAGTTTGGATTTGGATTTGAAGCCCTGGAAATGGGACATGGGACACCACTTCGGTACCTGAAAGACGAGAAACCTCGAGACGCTTCGGTCGCGCGTCCGTTTGCGCCGCTCGCTGGAGGCGGTGCAGCGCCTGAAGCGGCGCCGGGAGATGGAGCTGGGGCCCACGGAGGACCTCTCGGAGCAGGCGACGGGGCGAGCGACGCGTTTCGAGGAGCCGACGTCGATGGGGTTGGTCGTTTTGTTTTTTTTGGGGGGGAGGGGGTTAAAAGAAAGCGAGGCTCGGGATTCAGGTACCCGAAGAAAGAAAGAAAGAAAGAAAGAAAGAAAGGAAGGAAGAAAGAAAGAAAGAAAGAAAGAAAGACGTGTTTTGCTTCTCTTGTGTGTGTGTGTGCGTTTGGTTCTTGTGTTTTGTTTCTTCCTTTATTTCCAGCTGATCAAAGTATTTTTTTGTTGGTTTTTGTGTTTTTTCCCCGAGCTGATCAAAGTGCTTTGGGGAACCCCCTTATTATATTTTTTTGTTTTGGAGTAGCAAGAGTTGACCAGATTGTCTCTGGACATGCTTCATAAGTTTACAACATCAGAATGAAGAAAATGACTCCGTTTTTTTGTTTTGTTTCCGGTTGCGGGGCACAAGATCAGTATGGTGGTAGGCAAGTTTCACTGCAAGGAAGCCACGCGTGCGAGGTTTTCAGAGTTCAGGGTTCCCTTGAGCCCAGGCGAATTTGCTGCTTGGCAATGGCGCGCGCAAGGCGGGAGCCAGCTCAAACGAATTGGTGGTCAGAGCAGTTTGAAAATGAAGGGCGCGCCCCATATAAGTGATCAGCAGCCTGGATCAATCTTTACGCCCTGATGCATCCGATTTCAACAGCCTCAGAGACACACCCCTTTCCTTGCCATGTTTTAGATGGGCTGGCAATCGCAATTCAGAATTCCTTTGGCATATTGTCGATTGTCGGGATAGCTGGATCGGCTTGCGCTCGCTTCTTCCTCGCAGCCCATCTGGATTGCCTGAGCCACACGACAAAGTCGCGTGTGCTGGCTTTCCCCCATTTTTTGCTTGTCATCGCAAACACAGGAGAGCTCATATTGTAGGGTTGGCTCTACGCAGCTTGGTTTGGTTGACTTGCCGCATAAAAAGGACAAGTCTTGCTACCTTTGTGTCGATGGCCCGTGCGCCTGCAAGTGCCACTGGTAGCTGGGCAACATGAGCCTGAGCCAGTAGAAAAGAAGTAGCAAGCTTAAGAAACTCCACGATCACACCAACACACAGAAACACCACACTGAGCCAGTACACAGCGCATGGGCGTGGGGCCACGCTGATCATCCAACATCGTGCATCCGGGCCGAGCGTTTTCGTCGCCGGGCTCCGTTGTCCCAGCGCCATGATGTCGCTGATCGAGGGCATGAACCCCGAGACGCCCTACGAGGCGACGTTGACCTCGGAGCTCTCAGCCCTTCGGAAGGCGAGACGCTGCTGCGCAGAACGGGCAGTGGCGAATGAAACACGAGTCAAGGGTTCAAGGGACTGTGAGGTGTCTTGCTTGAGGATGGTGAAGGGAAACTCTGTGGTCCCAAACCTTCTCACGTTTGACGTTTTGGGATCCCTTCGACCAGGTGCTCCTGCATCACCATCAGCTGCTTGGCAGATGCGTTGCGCTTGCATACCACTCAAGACACATGAGCCAGCCGGGATAGGCTATGGCTCGTCAGAAATGCTGAAGGGCCTTTGTGGTGTGAAGGACCTTCGACCTCCCGGGAAAATTAGATTTTCCATCAAACCTGGACCTTTGGCTGGGGGGGGGCGGGGGGCGGGAGAGCAACGCATGCGCAACAGTTTACATGTGCACCTCAACAGTAAGTGCTTCTTTTTTTCTTTCTCACAGCTCAAGACGCCAAGACGCAGGTTGGAGGTGAGAGCCCTTCAGAATGCCAACCAGCGCATGCAATCGGAGCTGCAAAAGTTCGAGTCAACGGACTTCCTGGACTGGAGCATTTCAATATGTCAGGTTCCCTCAATTGCTGCTTTGGATTGGTTTGGGATTGAACCCCTGGTTCTTCTAGAGGAATGGTTTGGAATGGTCTACCCCTGGTTTTGGATTGGTTTGGAATGGTGTTTAACCACCGAGCCACCGGGCTCGCTCCAAACCGCCAATTGGAGGGAAGCTGATTGGAACACGTGCAGTCTCGTTGTGGATTGGGCCAGTCGTGCAACAGCGGTCAGCAACATGGACATAAACTCAGATTCGCTTTACGACAAATGGAGACACATGGTTGCCAGATTCCATTTGCTGGAAGTTGTTTTTTCCTTATTTTCCCTCTTTGGTTGTCAAAGGAATCCATCACTACTCTTTTCCAGTGGACTTAAGCAAATGGTTGCAAGCCAAGCATCTGTCCAGGAGCCTTTCAATGCAGACTGCAGCCAAAGCCTGGGCTTGGGCGGCCTGGACGACGAGCCGGTTTTACCTTTGCAGAAGTGGGGTGAGTTCACCGAGAGGCCGGCGGGAAGGAACTTTTTTCTAGGGGTACCTTCCATCTACATTCTTTCCAGGCATCCTTCTTTCTGAAAAACCGCCCGAAACCCTGGGGAAACAGCGGGTTTTTGGAAAGATGGTTGGAAAGAATGGGGAATCGACCCCTAGATTTTTTACACGGCACCACACTCGAAAGTCCACCAAGGGGTGCCCAATTTCTGAGCATACCGTGCTACCCATAGTGTGGCTGTTTTGAGGGCAACACCTGTTTTGTGGTTTTAATACTGTGGATGGACGAAATCCGGCACCACCTAAGACACTCTGGAATGATGTTTTCCCTGTAAATACAAGCAAACCATGGTTTCAGTCATGGATTCAAAGTGGTGCGAATTGGATTTCGTCCCACAGTAGGAACACCAATGTCATTTTGGAGGGTCTCCAAAAAACGGCGAGCCCATGTTCCTTGGTCCTTTTTTTGCCTCCCGGTGCTGCAACAGCTGCTGGGGGTTAGATTTGGCCTGCCAGATTCCAGGGCTCCTCAAAAGATACATTTTGCAACCATTTGAAACATGGCTTTTTCCACACCAAAATAAGGGGAAAACCACCATTTACAAGTTGCAATGTTCAGGTCTATAACCTAAGGATCCCTGTATTCCCGCTGGTGGGTTGTGCTCGTTTACTGGGGCAGCCTTCGCCAAGCTGCCGAGAAAACTCGTGCACAAACTCTACCCAATGAGGCAGGCTAAATCAGTCGCAGTTGCCAGGTGTAAATCAAAGTGGTTCAATTGAGAGAGATTACTGGGATCATGGTGGTCAGCGCCTGACTCTGGGGTTTATCACATGTTGTTCCTTTTCAGCTTGGTCAACTAAACGCATTCCTCTTGCGCTGGAATATGACCACATCGGGTCAAGCTCAGCGAGGGTCAATTGTTATAGCTGCTGAAGATGAATATCAATCAAGTCGTGTTGGTGTAGACTTTGACTGGCCTGAATAGGCGTTCTCCGACTAGCAGGATGTTATGGGGAAGGTGCTGTGATGCTGTACTGCCCGCTCGAAAGCAACAACTCTTGTCCTGGTGGTGCATGTTAAAGGTGAGTCGCGTGTAGCCAACCATTTCTTTGCAGTCGCCCTCGTTGGGGAAAGGGCAACCCTGCTTGCACATGGTGCTTTGGATTGCACAATCCCTACTTGTGGCAGCCTTTGATCCCCATTGCCAACTTCGGGTTGGCTCAAACCGTCCTTGACATCGGCTGCTCACAAGCGTGACAAGGGGTCCCGGGAGTTTTATGGAGACCGCGCTCCGAAATCCGATGTCAAACGACTTGTTGTGTTAAAAGAATCACTTCGTGTCGTTGCAAGTAGATCTTGGGGCATAGGAATTCAACAGGCAGTGGCCTACTTTTGGCATTCCGGCATTCCGATAAAAAATTGAGAAACCTTCGGCTCGCACTAACTGTTCCCCCCCATCAAGTAGCTGTTACTGGTACTTCGATCCAGAGAATCATCCCCCACAAGCGTTCGGCCCCAAGACGGGTGGCGGGACCAGGCTGCTTCAGGGCGTACCAGATACCATCGAAGAGCCGCAGCGCAGCCGCAATTGCAATGGAGGGAGAGGCTTCGCAGGCCTTTGCTCGCCATGGAAGCAATTGTCAGAAACAGGTTGCTTTGTGCAGAGCGCTGATATTGTGGCTCCAAATTAAACAGGAGGGGCACACCGCAGGTTTTGGTCCATGCTTCCACTTGCCAGGGCAAGCCATTTTGGTACCGTTTTTTTGAGCCAAAGCCACATGTTTGGCTGATTTGTTGATTGATTTTCGCAACATGGCAAGGTCATGTTCCTTTCAGCAGTTTTCGGTTTGGAGTGCGGATGGAATTTTGCAAAGGCACAGTGTGGCGTAAGGGTACGGATAATACACCGCTTGATATTGACGGGGCGCTCCTTTTGTGTGGTTGCAGCCGACTCAGAGCTTCCGGGGCCCGGCCGATTCGCGGGAGTTCCTCTGAGGATGGAAACCAACCTCAGGGAGGAGCTGCGCATGCGGAATGTGTGGAAGGTCTCCTTTCAGGACACCTCCTTGTGTTTTTTGCCTTTTTTGTTTCTTTGCACTTTGCCTCTATGCAAGGAATCAAGGCATCCATTGGAGGAAAGACTGTTCTTGGCCCCGCACCGCGGCTTCGAAGGTACATGTGCCACACTTCAGAAAAGGTTGAGCAGCGGAATGTGTGATTCGTACAAAGCGCTCCGGTAATCCTTGCTTCACGGTCTAGGTCTGATTGCACACGTATCATATAATTATATAAATATATATATTTACATGCAGCCTTTTACACCAATTATGGGCAACCTGGGGGGAAACCAAGCAGCAAAGCAGGCAAAGATAGGCAGGGTTTAATAGCGCAAAGCTCCGGCCTTCCCATGGAGCGAAGCTCCTTTAGCTTTGATTTGCAGAGGCAAGCGGGTGCCTTCTATGCTCGAGAAATCAGCAAACATGTCCATAAGCCCCACCTTTTTGGGGAAGGAAATCAAGGGCATTCAAGAACACTTGAATCTTTAGGCGCAATGTTCGGCAATTGATCCCAAGCCACATGTTCTTTGGCAACAGAAAGACACACAGGGTTTCATCCATCCCAACTTGACCCTCGGTTGCACGGCCGAGCCGGCTTTTGGCCAACGAGGACGTGCGCCATCGGGGCACTGCCATCTTCCGGCCGCTGAAGTCAGCTGTGACCTCTGACGATCTGAGGCCTGCGAATACATGGAAATGGGACCCGTGCAGCCAAGGAGGCCTTTTCTTCCAGTTGCCGATCTATTTTTTTTGAATAGGGCAAATCCCTGTTGGTTGATCACTACAAGGCTTTTTTTTTTTCCGAGGGGACTGAATCACTGAAGCAAATTGAGGTTTTGGTGTCTGATTCGCGACTTGAACAAATGATCTTCAAACTGCAACACTTGCCCCCCAGCTCGCAAGCAACCCCCTCAAAAAACAGAACAGGGCCAGCGGGCGAGCACGGTTCCTTGTTTTTAGGCCAGGTGAGTTGCTTATATTTTCTACTTCCATTTGTTTGAGACTATTTGTTTATTTTCCCTTGTTGGTTTTAAAGTCAATCTATGACTACTCGACATTTTGTATTTTTCCACGGGGCTGAAGCAAATGGATGTCTATCAGATGCTGTGACCTGCAGTATGTTCTCTTTTTTTCCGCTGATATCTTGCATCCTTTCTCGCACACAACCAGTCCGGCAAAGCCAAACACAATTCTTTCAGAAGCCAAACATC